CCTGTCCAACATTGTAAATATTTAATGGTGCTTTATTTTATGCGCCCTTCATATTTGTAACAATAATATTTCTGAACATATTCTAAAAGATATCGACGGGTTTTGAGTCGACTGGCGACAATCCAAGAATACTCCTTGTTGTCTTCGTTTAGAAATTGAAAATACATCGCGCTTTCAAACAAATTTCCCCACTATCTTCTTTCTACCCTGAAGTAGCGCTGCTCATATCGGATTTCTTCGACTTGCTTCCAGTCCCTCTCTCCTATGTCTGTCAATTTCCTTCCGAGCCTGCCCACTTCGTCGCTTTTAGGAGCTTTTTATTGAGAAATCATCTCTTTTCCCGCTCGCTTCTGGATGTAATGCCTGTTTAATTGTAATTGGAGCGTTCGACACCCGGTGGCAATTTAACCTTGTGCATTTCGAAGACGACTGTCATGAAAAACGCGAGCGAAAACTGGCCGTGTATATCTGCCCGCTACTTTAGCTTAATAGCCAGCCTCTCTCCCCCAAGGTTTCGACAAAATGAGCAAGAGCATCAAATAACAATTATTTTCCTAAAAGCGCCTATGCATTCTTTTTGCTTATGATAGAGGCTGAGTGTTGCAAACAATCTTGAAATAAAGATGCGAAGTGACATTTGGTAAACCTTTTCCTTCCTCTGTGTCTGGCCATAATCACTGGCGGGAAAATGTAAGGCCGGATCTTTAAAAGAAGAGGGGAAAAAAGATGTCAAAACATAGATATAGGACTGTCTCACTCCGGAAAGAAATGAAACGGGGAATATTTCTACTACATGCAAATTGAGGTATAAGGTTTCTCTTTCTGATTCCGCCATTTTACTGATTAAGTACCCGCTGCCTCTACATTGCTAATTGAAAATGGCTTGGGGAATGGTGGCGTATGAATACCACAAAAAAAGAGGGGGAGGGGGTGGGTAGTTGATTGAAATCCATCGTTTCGTACCGGACCTATTACTTCCTTTTTGTTCAGATATTTTCATCTACTTACCATGTTTTATGTTTACAAATTTTAATGCCAGCTGATTAATAAACTCTCAACATAATATATTGAATCTATATCAAATTATTAGTTTCAACTGTATTAATTCTGTACTGTAATTTCTACGTTGTTTTAAATTTATGCCAATCTATGTTCATTGTAATTTATTGATATGTTTCTTTTGTAATTGTGCATGTTTTTATATGTTAACTATATGAGCCATCAACGGCTGCGAAGATATATTTTAATAAACCTTAAATTGAATTGAATTGAATTGAATAAACTTATTGAAAATGCTATTTTGAAATAAATCGTCATTATCATAATAATCATTGCTAATTTTTCTAGTTATCATCAGTTAATATCATATCTATAGAATATCATGCACAATAAACCATGAAAAGATTTTCTTCAAATTCGGCCCTTGGTTACATTATTTTTAATTATATTTCTCTTTTTGTAAATTTATAAAGAAGAAAAAAAGAAAATCGAATTGTAATAGTCAAAATCTCATTTCTTGAAGTCCTGGCAAGTTTTGTATAAAATAAGTTAATATTTCTCCATGTATGTTTTAATGTATACTGATTTTTATTCTGTTTTCAGAACTGAGAGTAAAATACAAATAAAAATTTCACTTCAGTCGTATAAAAAAAAATGGTTTCCGTTACATGTATAGAGCTTTGTATAGATTTTAACTGAAAGTGAGGATTTCTTTCTAGAGAAAATAGATTGACACACTCGGAACTAAATCTGACGCAGACCGGAAAGGAAAACAAATCAACATAAGGTCGGATGATAGTGGGTAGTAACGGTTGTTAATGAGCGTGATATTTAAACATCTTGCAATGTGTCTAAAGATATACTGAATCAGGTGCAATCAGTCACTTTTTATATGCTTAATGATCATTAATTTAGATTTGTATGGTTAGAAGATGGACTAACATCTACTTGAAAATGTCAAATGATCCTGAATTTCTTGTCGATCGTGCGTCTTTGTAGTTATAATGGGAGCGTCAGGTGCAAAAGTCTAACGCATTCGATGTTGATAAGCCCTTATTGCCTAGCATTTATCTATCTGGGTAGAGCTTCGATCGTTACCCTCTTATGGTCAGTTGCACAAGTTATATAAAGGAACCTCCCCCCCCCCATCCATCCAATTTTATGTCATCGCTTCCTATAGTATGTTATGAACCCCCCCCCCCTCTCTCTCTCTCTCTCTCTCTCTCTCTCTCGCTCTCCGTTATTTTACCTCTTTCAACATCTTCCTCTTTTCACCTTCTTCTTCCTTTTCTGTTTCTTCTTCACCTCATGTTTTTTCTTACATTGTCCCCCCTCTCTCTCTCTTATAATCTTCACCACATCTCCTTCTACGCCAACCCCCCCCCGCCCCCCCCCCCCACTCAGGGGTCGGAATGACCGCATGCGTGTTGCCAAAATGTCCGGTAAAGGGGTACTTTTCGTGCGACAAAGTCCGGCCCGAGAATTGTAAAAAAAAAAAAAGGGGGGTGTATTTGACTTTTCACCCGGAGATTTCTTTAAAAAAGGGGGTGTTTTTCCTTTTTTTCTCTCATCTCTTTGGACTCCTGAGAAGTTATTCCGAATTTAGGGGGGTACATTGAACATTTTTCCTGATTTACGGGGGTCTACAAGGCAGGAAAAGCCCGCGAAAAGCCCGCGAAAGGGGGGTTCGGAAATGTTGGCAGTCCTCAGATAGGGGGTGCTTTCAAAAAGAGGTAACGAGCATATGCGTACCCTAAATAACACTGAGTGGGGGGGGGGGGCGGGGCAAACCCTTCTACCTCCGCCCTTCTCTCTCCAGCCGCCATCTCCCCGTCTTCTTTCCCTCGCCCCATCTCCCCTCCCTTGCCCCCCCCCCCCTCCCCCGCTCTCGAACCTTTTCCCTCTTTCTCTACTCCCCCCATATCTGAAATAAAAACTTAGAAATTATACACCATAGGCTTTATGATAAGTTTGTTTACAAACTAATGTGATTTTTACATTATACCTTTTTAATATCCCCCAACAATCATAGGGTGACATTTTAATATACAATGGAAAACGTTTTTAGCTTGTGATCTGTCATACTGGAAGATCAATTGCCCTACAGACAATGACAGAGCATGCGTATAAAGAAAAACAATCTGCCATGCACTTCCTCCTTCAAAAGTATATTTTTCTTCTGAACTAGATTTTCTTTCCCACGACATAATACAAGAGAATAATGTTTAAAATGTTTGTTTCGTCAAAAAGAGCGCATGTGTTACAAATAAGACTGATTGACCATTAACCCAATATAAAATGTTATTTTTGCACGTTCTTAGCCCTCTGTCTTAATAATCGTGGTGATTACACTTGCAATCGGCATTGTTTTATATATGGAATATGGTTCGATTTTTAAAGAGTGTTTATTTTAAGAGAACAGCTTGACTCAGGTGGGGCTCATCTCCATCCGTTCATTAACTTGGAGTCTTAATCGGTACAAAACAAAGGTCCCCTTCTCTCTCTCTCTCTCTCTCTCTCTCTCTCTCTCTCCCTCTCTCTCTCTCTCTCTCTATCTCGATCTTTGCAGAAGTGTGTTTTAAATTACATCCTCTTTCACATTGTGAAACAAATCAAGTGAAATTTTGCCATCACTTTTTTTGGCGAATTTGGGGCTCACTTCAGATGGGCTTTAGCACTTAGAGACATAGGCGCCGGAAGTGGGGGGGGGGGGGGGGTGGGCAAAATGCTGTTTCACCCCCCCCCCCCCCCCAACAGAAAAACAAAAAACAAAAACTAAACAAAAAAGAAAAGCAGTAAGGAGAGTAAAGATGGTTTGTATTTTGTAACCAAAAAGAACAGAAAAATAATAAACCCTGAATTGAATCACATACAAATGATATTACATTCAAAGAAGGAAAGTTAACAGGAATTAAATTTCCTATACATTCCGCATGCCCCTATATTTATCAATAGAGGTTTTTATAATAGCGATACGCGCATATCGTTGAAATATTGTAACTATGTTCATTCAGGGCCCCCATGGAAGACCACTACTTGTTGGTGAATGGGCTACCCTGTCAAAAGAGGATGGCAAAGCGTGTGTGTCTTTTACTATAGAGGTGAGAAGACATGAGCCCCTGAACACTGGCGTACTGATGGGCGGGGGGGGGGGGTATGTCTTATTTGATACCAGTGATTTACAAATGTTGCTGAAATGAAATGATTTTCCGATATTTTTTCTCAATTTGTTTGTAAATCGTACCTTTTTATGCGTTTGTTGGAAAATTACAAATCCCAAATTTACAATCGGGCGAAATCATATGATAATTTAGAAGCCTTCATGTCAGGGCCTACAAAAAGTCGGGTTTCGGGGGCTCGAGCCCCCCCCCCCCCCCCCCCCACCCCCTCACTTAAAAAAAGTATTATATGTTAAAGAGAAAAAGAAAGAAAGAGAGAGAGAAAAAATGATTGACCTGCCAATGTCACAAATTAGGTATCAAAATATGCTCATCTGGCCGTAATTAAATCCCTAAAACCCCTGAGCTTACGGGAGCTCTGCCTCCTGGACCCCATCAAGGACCCTAAGGCGGCCCCTGGATTCTCATCTGATTCTAATCTAAATACCTAAAACCCCTGAGTGGTGAGCACTAATTTTGTTTTCATCGAAAATTTAAAAATCGCACCCCCCCCCCCCCCCCCCCCCCCCCCTCCTCCTTGAGGCTTGAGCACTAATAATGATAATAATAATAATATACCATTTTTCGTAATATAATGCATAGAGTCTATGTCTTTGTGAAATGCCCCAATACCAATATTCTATTCACCTGTAAGAATGCAAAATGCATATATACGACACGTTTTGTAGGTTGGGCAAGCCCTATTGTTTCTCCAACTCGCATTCCGACCATAGAAATACAATTATTCCTAACATCATGACCATGACATAGTCTATCCGATAGTTCAATTTTTTGCGCTAGCGTATAACTAGCTGCATGCATTGTTGTACATGTATGCTCGCACCGAGTCTGTATCAAAGACTAAACAGTTAACATGGAAACGCTCAGCTAGCTTGTCCTGCAACGGCTTTGTTTTGGTTCAAGAACATCACATTTTACCCAATATTTCCACAAGGTAAGTGACTTAACATATGTATGTGGCGTAATAAAACTATATGAAATTAAATAATAAGCTACGCCTAATTCGTAGAACGAAACATTCGAGTCATTTCGTTCTTTATATGAGAGAAAATTTTCATTACAGCCCCATATGCTCAGTTTTGTGTAATGTAAATTAGATCTGTAGATATTATTATTATTGAACCTTCTTTCTTGAAAGTTTGCCTGTCATAGTTTTTTAATAGTGCAATAAACATATGAGTTTTTCGGTCACTTGAGACATATCCAATTTTATTTTGAACTATTTGTTCTAGAATTGTTTTAACTTCTTATTGAAATCCTGTTTCAATTTTTCAAAAAAAAAGAAGAAAAATTCTGAAAGTTGCCATGGCATGGCAGTATTAATTTTCATTTCAGAAGTCTGGGTGGTATTTTTGTTTGCCTCATGCGATCTGCCTGAGTTCTTCCTCCACAGTTTCAGAAAACGATATAGAAAAATATGAAGCTACCGTGTGTGCATCTCTCACACTGCAAAATGCGATGCTGCTGCATGGCGAATGGCGACACCGATGGGACACTTGCTGCTTTAGTTTGGCCCGAATTTTTCTAATTTTAAACCATGGGTCATGTAATGAGGATTTAAACCAGCATTGTCCTTGGGCTAAATTTAAACCTCTTGTGAATTTGGGCCTTTAAGTTTTAAGCTTGCAACTCACAAAAAATCTAGTTCTAAAACCAAAAAGTTCTTGAAAAACAGCTTGGTTATTTTACTTACAATTTTGATGCACTATTCTTGTCTCCAAATTGAGATTTCCATACCATTATCAGTAAATTCAGATTTTTGGGAAAAGCACCGTAAACACATTGATATTTGTTTATCTTTTTTCAATATTTCCCAACCAGTGCCAAAGAAGATTTCATCAGTGGGTAATTTTCGGTTTCTCCTTTGCTTTGGTTGTATCAAATTTTCAAAACATTATTGTTTTTTTGAGCTACTGACTCATGTGCAAAGTTTGGTCATATTTAAAATATGGTCATACTGCCATGGTTTATGTTAATATCTACATGCAGTAACTGACCACCCTTATTGATTTGGTTCTCACTTAACAACAACATCAGGTTTAATTGAATCAGTATGATACTTACTTGATGTATGATTTCCAGTACTTACTGTTTTTTAAGTTTCTTTTATTTCCTTTTTAAAAATAAATTTCAGATAAATAAGATGGCAGGGGAGGAGGACAATGGTCAGAATGGATTCATCATCGATTCTGCCAGACTCTCTACGGATGGCACAACAGAGGAGGATGACGAAGAGGAAGGCAACCAAGGGGTCGCTAAGAGTTTCAGTTCTCACAGCAAAGAAGTGGAGATGATCCTCAAGTCGGCCAAGGTGGTTCAGGCCATCGCGGTGGATCTCAGTAAGAAGGGACTGGTCAAGATTCCAGAGGAGCTCTACGGCATGGACCATGTTGAGGTCAGTATTTGTACTGTAAAAAAATGTTGCGCATATTCTGTGACAAATTAGCTCTCAGACAATCAGATTTCAGTAGATTATAACAGTTATTGTAATTTGATTTATGCAACAGGGTCCAGATTCATTTAAGATCTGGATCACAATTATTAAAACACTGAAATGTCACAAAAATTTGTAGCATCTCAGTAAATGAGAGAGGTAAACGTAGAAGGGCATAAGTTCAAAATATTTGTCTTTTTTTCAGTTATAACTTTGTAATGAAAAATAAAAGAATAGTCAAATCTCAGCCCAACACTAACATCCTTTGGCAAGACATTAATCTACATGTACATTTGCAACTCTCCAACCAGGTGTAAATGGGCACCTGGCAATTAATTGAACATTATTATTATTATTATTATTATTATTATTATTGTTATTGTTATTATTATCAATATTATTATTATTATTATTATTGTTGTTGTTGTTTTTTGTTGTTGTTTTTGTTATAATTTTTTTTTTTTTAATTTTTATTGTTTATAGTTCTTGTACTTAGAGGGGAACCTTTTGCAAAAAATTCCTTCACAACTGTTTGAGGATGTCATGAATGTCAAATGGCTCGATCTCAGGAATAACAACATACATCACCTTCCAGCAGAAATAGGTTATCATCGGTGAGTCGATCTTCTGCTTAGATTGATATGTATTATAATTTTGAATGTCAATAAAATAATTTGTAAATTATTGTCACAGTGGTAATAAATATTGTTACTGATATGAAGAGCTTTGATCTAATTTTGTAAATTTTGGAAAGATGGAACATATGATACATGTATGGAGAGTTTGTCATACAATGAATTTCTTCCCCCCCCCCCCCTCCCTTTTTTGTTTTGTTTTTGATGGTGCATCTTCCATTGCAGCTTGAGACTGGCACAAATAACATTTTTCTTCTACTCACAGAAAGAAAGTTAAGATACATGTACCGGTATATTACTAGCAGTGTATTACATAGCTTGCTTTTTTACCAAAATTTTATCCAGGTGTTTGAAGACTCTTTTACTGGAAGGGAATCAAATATCAGAGCTTCCTCCAGAAATGGGTGAGTAGATTTCCATGCGAAAGGAGACTGTTCTTCAGATCCTGTGCCCTTCCTAATGGTTATTGATGTATTAGCCCAACATACAATTTCAGTCGCTCAAGCACGTTGCGAAAATTTCTTTTAAAAAAGCGTGTCGACCTCAAAGTGATGTCATCTTGTTGTTTGAGCAAATTGAGATTAAATCTGGTGAAACACTCAGACGCATTTTCTGTACCTTTTCCTTTTAATTAGTAATATAATAATAATATAAATAAATACTTTCTGAAGCGCACTTATCTAATAAATTACTCAAGGCGCTATACAAACAAAATACACTAATCTCTCTCCAGAATTTAACAACATGATATCATTAGTAACTCTGAGTGAATAAATCCTTTTTAACATGTTTCTGAAAGGTTTCTAGGCATTGAATGTTCCAAATATCATTTGGTAACTTGTTCTAGAGGACTGGTGCAACATACACGAATGCACGTTCCCATAATTAAGCAAGATGACAGTCATCTTTGTATGCATGATTTTTTCAAAAGTATACCTAACTTCAAGGAAATTATATAAATTTGTCTACAGAATTATATATATGTTGCCTTTTATGCTAATCCTTTCACTATACCATGTATTTGGACAATTGAAATTTTTCTGTAAATAAGAGATATGATGCTCATTGTGGTCAATCCGCTTATAATTTTCCACCTGTAGGTCAACTGAGAACTCTGACTGGTCTAAATCTTCGAGGTAACCCCATCGAGTTCCCACCGCTGAAGGTCATAGAGAAAGGAGTGAAGGAGATACTGCGTTACCTGAGGGAGGCAATGGCTATCAGGAGTCGAAGGCTCCAGTCAGCCGGTAAATTATTCCTACATTTTATTTATTTATTTATTTTTAATCTTTTGTCAGGGAAGCCCATTCACCAATAAGAAGTGGTCTTCCATAGGGCCCTGAATAAACATGAACATATTTACATCAAAAAGCATAACGTTTATCATTTCATTTCATTTCTTTATCGTGTCCATAAAGGATAATTGTTTATATGCACATGAACAATCTTGCTTCAACATAAGAACATAGGAACAACATATAATTGACATTCATAGGGCCCTGTTGTAGTATACATTTGATATAATATACATGGTAATGATGAATATACATTTAAATACTCTTTCTTCTTCTTCTTCTTCTTCTTCTTCTTCTTCTTCTTCTTCTCTCTTTTCTTCTTACATACCCTCCATTTTTTTTAATTCTTATATGCTCTAATATGAAGTAGGTATTTTGTGTTAAAAATTATTTCTTGATATGGTATAACAGTAGGGGTACAACAGTAAAGTAAGTATACTAAAACAATATATATATTCGTGTAACATGTCAATGAGGGTATTTTGCATGGTTTTCACATTCTCTATTCTTTACTGGGTTTCATTAACTACTCTTATGGAAAGTGGAATGAATGAATGAATGCGGCGACTAGTTCTTGCTTTAACAGATCTCAATCTTCGTCCGCTTCTCAGGTGTATGTACTGGTCATTAAGGGGGTGGGTAAGATCAGACATAATGGATAGGGCCTTAGATACTACTCTTTCCTTACAGACTTCATCTAGGTCAACAGTATGGTTAATTATTTTGCTGGCTTGTTTTACAACCCTTCTCAGCTTTTGTTTGTCACTTTGCCTTGCATTGTTAAACCAGATAATGGAATCAAATGTAATAGTACTCTGAATTATCGACTGGTAAAAGAGAAACAGAATTCTGTCGTTCACATGAAAGTACTTTAACTTTCTAAGAAAATATAAGCGCTGGTTGCATTTTGTTAGTGTGCGCTTTGACTTCTCTTCCCAAGACAGCTTATTGTCGATTTCTGTACCTAGGTATCTATAACTGTCAAAATTCTCAATGGTATCATCATTAAAGTGTACAGGTCTATCGATGGGTTCAAAAGCTTTCTTTTGCCTAAAGTCAAAAAAAATTCTTTTGTTTTCTTTGAGTTCAGCAGTAAATAGTTTTCCCTACACCAATTTTTCGAACATGGAAATTGTAGCTCTGTAATAAAATTCATTTTCAGTTTCAATCAATCCTACTATTACTGTATCATCTGCATATTTAAGTATGTGAACAGATGGAGAATTAGATATACAGTCATTGGTGTACAGGGTAAATTTGGGTCGCAGAGAGGACACATCCTTGTGGGGTACCAATTGTTGTGATAAGTTCGTCAGAGAGAACACCGTTGACCTTGACCTTCTGTGTCCTTTCATGTAGGAAGTCTTGCAGCCACAATATAAGAGATGGCTGAACTTGTAGTTGTTGAAGTTTCTGTAGTAGGATGAGGGGTTCTATAGTGTTAAGTGCCGACGAGAAGTCTATGAAAGTTGCTCTGGCATAACACCTTGCCTTATCTAAATGTTCGTACAGCGTGTTTGTCAAGGTAAAAACTGCATCGGTAACGGAACGCTTCGCTTTATATGCAAACTGGTTTGGATCTAGTAGCGGAAGAACTGAGCTTGTCAGCTTTTCAAGTACTAGTCTTTCCAGGCTTTTCATAACAACCGATGTCATACAGAACATTTAAAAAATACAATTCCATGGTACATTTAGAAAGATATGACACAGCAATAATACGTGGCAAAAATAACACTCGTTTGCAAAATAAACATATATCATTAACCTAGTTCAACAGTAATGCCAATAGGAAAATATTGATTAAGTCGCAATTATGTGAATAAATCATGTTGATAATACAGAACATGCACATATTACAACTTTGTTTAAACAATCTCTTAAATGAATTGACAGAGGAAGCCGTTCTCATCCATCTATTTACACATTTTTAAAAAATTCTCTGGTACTTTGTCTTCTAATCTTGTGATTCAACATTTGCTCTGGTGACATTTTACCCTGGGCTTTGTTCAGTAAAAATACATAGGGTTTAGGTATTGGATGTTATTGAGTTTTAAGTAAGGTGTATGGGTACAGTTAGGGTTTGGTATAGTGTTATATAGATACATGGTTGTAATTATTAAGAATTTGAGTAGGAACTGAATCAGGATTACTGCGACACACTTCTCGTAGTGGAGTAAAATGAGTCATCAAAATGGGTTTGAAATGTACCACAGAGCAATAGTCACAACGTCATTTGTTTTAAATACAATTACTCTTTCTCTGGAGTTTGATTTTTTTATAAATACAGTATCTGGGTTTTTTTAATAACTAAGAGTCCCTTTATTTGTTAACTCTCATTGCACTGCCATTCCCACCTGTTAAAATTTGATAATAATAATAATAATAATTATAGTGGGTTCTTTTATAGCGTTCATGTCTGTCAGATTTGACTCTCCTGATTATTACCCTGGCTTTAGCACGGCTGCCATATGGCGTTCTAGCTGAGTGTCGCGGTGGGACTATCGAACCGCGGACATGGTGATCGACAGTCCGGTGACATATCCACTCAACCACGACACCTCTACACATAATAATCACTAATTAAACCTCTACATTTCAGAACTCCGAATCGAGGACCTGAACCTCAGCGACGCAGCTTCCCACTCCTCGGGGAGTGAAAACGAATACAACCCCAAGACCCGGCTCGACCCCACTGACCGTCTCAATCACATCCAGTCGTCCAGTAGACTGTCCGTCCGGTCAAGCATGAGTAACATGTCGGACCTCGAGTTTCCCAGGCCCAAGTCCGTCTCGCTGCACAAGCACATGGCGTACGAGGAGTACAGGCAGCTTCAGCATCAGAAATTCAAGAGAGCGGGGGCACTTGGTGTCCTTGGAAAAGACAAGTATGTACTGGTGGCCTGGTTTCTGTGCTCTTCCTATGTTTGTGTTAATGACGTGATTCCCCCCTCCCCCACCCACTTCCTGTTGTTTAGCAAATCCTTTTGGGAAATGTTATTTGAAGTGGTGTTAGGCACAGTCTTTGAAACACCAAGAAAAATGACATTGACAATGAGTTTAGCTTCAATGCAGGTGACATGTGAAGTCATTATGTTGACAAACAAGGTAGAGAAACAATAATGTAATCATATTTGGGTAAAAGCAGGTTCATTTCAGTTCTGGAAAGAAAGATAGAAAAAAAATTATGAAATTGGTTTGCATCATTACTTGGAAAGAAAAATGTGAACATACTTTGATTGTTAACAATTTTAGCCCCTATTCACCTTGTTTTTCTGGTAAATGACTTAAATTATGTTTCATGGATTCCCCATCTCTAATTTCCCCCTTTCCAAATTCATCGACTCATACCTCCTGTAATGTTACATAACCCCACCCCCTTGCCCTGTTCAGATCCAAATATTAATCCTATCCCAGCATGATGCTAGCAGTACATGAATGGAATGAGGTGAATTAATATTCAACCCTATGTTAATATACCAGGGTATCAAAAATGGAAACAGGACCCTATTTATCTTATAACATTGTGTGCGTTCCCCATACCCCTTTCACATCCTTGAATTAATCTGATTATCATCCTTGTATTACCCCAGCATGAGACAGGTTTCATCTGGAAGAAGGTATAGTGCTATTTTCCCTTTAATTACACACTAATAACATAACTCTATGTAACATCCACCCAACCATCATGTTTTATTGCACTCAACTTAAGAATGCCAGTTTTAGGACAGTTGTTTGTTTAGGCATTTTTTCAGAACGAAGTTTTCTAAAAATTTTCAAGCTTATCAGGCTTCATACACTTTTCATTACATGCATATATCCCATTTTTTAACTCCATGTATATTAATCAAATAATGCATGTGCATGAATTCATTGTACAATCTATATATGCATGAGTAAAAGCTGTCTTCATCATCGCATCTATCTAGTGGTTTCATGTGATGAAAATGATAACAATAATAACAAAAGTAGTATTAATACTGTTCTCCCTGAGGGTCGTGGGAGTTGTTTCACAAAGACTAAGATTGACTTTAAGTTGTACGTAACTATGGCAGGCTGTTCGTGCATCTGTTTGCTCTCACCATTTACTGGCCTTGCATGGTCTCTCAAAGGCTGACTTACAAATCATGGCCACAAATCTACAGAATTTACATTTTTTTGAAGAAAAAATATTATCTAAAGATCATACACACCAATACTTATATGCTAGATGTCTGATCAACCTTTTCTGATCGATTCCACAACGTTTATTTCACAATGCAATCGCATGACCATAACTCAACTTATCTTTAATTCAGTGATCTGACAAATGCTACTGTGACATTTGCTCCAGTTGTATCTCATCAATTAAATAAGGATAGGGACTTGTATGCAACTGGGTTTTAGTTTAGGGTTAGTGTTAATCGTGGGACCAGCGTTGAAGTCAGAAATTTGGTAAACTGTAATTGCCTGGAGAATGATTGTTGCCAGAGCATGTTTTGCACAATCCTAACCCTAGTGTGTCTTAATTGTGTGCAGTGTGTGGTTCCATCCATAAATATCAATTTTTCATCTTAATTGTTTCCATTAATTACCATATCCCTTTTTATAGCCTCATTATTTCAAACGTTAATTGAAAATGTACCTACATGTCTTAGGTCACTCTAATCTCCAATCAAAACTTAACTCCCACAATCCTTGTTTTGTTGCTTTTCAAGAAAATAACATATTTTTTTAATCCAAAGGAATCCATATAAAAATCATGTTTATTTCTATAATCTTACTTTGCACAGGTAAGTAAATCCTACTAATTGCTCTAAGACGTCCTTTCCTATAAATACACAGAATGATGGAAGACAATTTATATCCTCCTTCGCTTATTTTATATTTGCATTTAAATTGTATTTAGTTCTTTGTACTTTAAAATCACAAAAAATCTTTGTAAATAGTGATTTCCATGTGGAACTTCCTGTGTCATATTCAAAAGACAAGTAAGCAAAGCAATTCTTTAGGCTACAAATTTGCTATTGCAAAAATCTTACACAACCATTAATAATGCTCTTAAAATTCATAACAGAATAGGAATATATAAGGTTGTGAACTTGAAGGGAACATGTAGTTTGAGACTTTACAAAAAATTCTGAGTGATTTCATAACAGAGTAAAATATTTTTCGGAGATTGAATCTCCATTGAGTCGTTGTCATAACCATGATTTAAGATTACCGTCTGTACAAGTTTGGACAGGAGGGATTAGACCACCCAGCGTGGTTGCTGACAGGTGGCTATCTCATCAACTCAGGTCTCGATAAATATAAGAAAAAGAGGATCATTGGGGACCAACAGGCACTGAATTATTTGCTATATAGAGGGCGCAAGTAGCTACAAGTAGTACAGTGTGGCTTTAAATTCTAATACCTGTTTAAACATCTCTGATATCCCCCAGAAGGAAGAGAAAGCAGAAGATGAAGAAGAATCGTTCTCCTCCCATCGATCCCGTCCAAACCAAGATGGCCGAGGAGAGACGGCTGGCTAAGTTGGCTCAGCTCAAACAGAAACAACTTGTGATGGAACAAAAGAGAAAGTAGGTCATTGTTGGGTGCCTTAAAGGTACTACATGTATGTCCCATTTGCAGGCCAAACAAATGAAAAGGTTAAATTCCAACGGCATTTGAAAGATAATACTAATTTGGAACTTCCCTAAAAAAAAGTGGGCTTGAAAATGTCTTTACGTGGGAAAATAACGACTCTTAGTTGTCAAATCGACTTAAGAGCTATAGAGCCAGTAAGTTATAGTCTGATTTTCAGACCATTGTACTGAATGGTCGTACGTTTTATGCAGCGCAAACATTCAATCAGTTTAATTTTGGCCATTACAAGAAGTGGGTTATTGATGTAGACAAATGCTCATGTACCCTTTACAGCTCATTTTATGTATGTTATTACCAAAGAAGAAAAAAGCCAGTCAGTCACTCATTAGTGTCTGGCAGTGAAGTCTAGCAAGTAAACAGGTTTCCTTGCATAATTTGAATATTAGGACACTGCTAACGTTTAAATTTCACAGATAGGACATACATGACATATTCATAATTCCTGCAAAGTTCTACAGAATTTGATGTTGGCTGCAAAAGGGACGTAGTATCTTTAAGTGAGTCAGATGATGAACTTGACAATTCTTGTTCATTATCTGATTTTGACTGAAACTGCATATTTTACAAATTATTATTTGTATAGGTATATTATAAATTATTTGACATATCATGTTTTTTTTACAGATGTCATCTTGCAATATCGTATTAATTTGGCCCACCCCCCCCCCCCTGCCAAACAAAACCTCTTTGCCATCTAACTAACCATTTAGATGTACTCTTAAATTATGTTCAAAATGTAGAGACCCCTCCCCCCTGTTATGTATTGGCATCTCATAGCCAAGGATTGTAACACTTGGCATTCCATACAAATAATAAAGCATGCTACACACATGACCTAAAAGTACCACTTGTGTCTGACCGAATATGTTACATGGTAGTACGGATTTCGACCCATAAGCCGACGTTATGCTGGGAAAGATGTTCTACAGGAGAATACTGATATATTTGTGATTCCACACAGTCAGGAAAGGGACAAGAAATCGACTGTGAACAGTGATAAATAGTGAAACTTTTACTGCATTGTTTGTGACTCATGCTGAGGAGCTAGCCCACTGCACTGCAGGCAACGAGCTACACACACGCATACACACGCAGGTGTAAGTACACACAGAGTTGACTGTCGCTGTATGTACACATTGATTGGAAGTGAGAGTAGTGTGTGTGAGCCCGAGTTTGACACAGTTGCATAGGGAGAGGACAGCTACAAGATGGCTTCGAATGACAAGCCCTCCATGAACTGGTCATCACTTGATTTGCTGAAAGAGTGGCGCAGATTCAAACAGCACTGCGAGTTTACATTCAAAGGTCCTCTTGCAGGAAAATCAGAGGTAGAAAAGGTCAACTATCTCATGACTTACATCGGGGACAAAGGCAGAGAAATTTACCAGATATTTGATTGGCAGCCCAGTGGAGGAGGTGCAAACGGGCAACGGATTCCAGCAGAAGATGAAACTTTGAAAGGGGTTTACGGCAAATATGAAGAGTATGTGAAGCCGAAACGAAACCAAATCCGGGCCACGGTTAACTTCAATAGAAGAAAACAGGAAGAAGGTGAGAAATTTGACAATTTTGTCACTGACCTGAAGATCCTCATAAAGGACTGTGATTATCAAGAGGAAGACAGAATGTTGCGGGATGCAATAGTCCTGCGTTCGCTACACCCGAGTGTTAGAGAGAAATGCCTAGATGAAGGGGATTCCCTAACACTTCAAAAGGCAATTCATGTTGGGCAGAACCATGAGCTATCTCAAGACTCCATAAAGATGATACAGCTGGGGGAAGTTAACGCAATCTCAAGGCAGGCCAGAGGGCAGCTGCAGAGAAGGAAAACTGGTCCTAACAAAGGCTATCGCCAGGATAACTACGCACACAAGAAAGAAAAAAAAAATGCACCCGGTGTGGCTACAGCACGGACCATGATAAATGTCCGGCCATTGGCCAGACCTGCAATGTCTGCAAAAGAAAAAACCACTTTGCTGCAGTTTGCCAGAGAAAACAAAGCACTTACAGAGTGGAGCAGCGTGAAAGCGCTCAGGAGAGTGACGAGTCTGGATCAGACGATTTCGCATATGAGATTGGAGCAGTACACCAAGTAGGTGGCGGCAAGGCCACGGATGAATGGTATGAAACTGTCAACATCCAAGGTAAAGAAGTTGAAGGTCACATCAACACCGGAGCTGCACAATCCATAATGCCAATCCAAGTCTTCAACACATTGCAGTGCAAGGAGAAGCTTGAAGAGACCCGCACCAAGTTTGCTTCATACACTGAACATGAATTGAGAGTGATAGGATCAGCAGTTCTCCCAACACGCTACAAAGATGCATGCATTGAGGTAAAATATTATGTAGTAGATGCAGCATCCAAGCCAGTTCTTCTCTCAGGTGAAGCAAGCAAAATGCTCAAGCTGATTAGACGACTTCACAGCATCGAAGAATACCCAGAGTTACTAAGTTTGACAGGATGTCTCCCGGGAACATATACATTGAAGATTGATCCCACTGTGAAGCCTGTCATTCATGCACCAAGGAGACAGCCCAAGGCACTGGCAGAGAAAATAGTGGCCAAGTTGAAGGAAATGGAGACAGATGGGCACCTCACAAAGGTTACAGAACCCACAGACTGGGTGAACTCAATGGTCACGGTGGTCAAAGGAGAAAAGGTGAGGATCTGTCTAGATCCTAAAGACCTCAATCGTGCCATCAGAAGGGAGCACTACAGAATTCCCACTGTAGAAGAAGTTGTAGCAGACATGCCGGAAGGAGCAAAGATATTCTCCGTCCTCGACGCAAAGTCAGGATTTCTACAGATCAAAATCGACTATGAGTAAAGTCTGCTCACAACATTCAACACTCCAGTTGGCAGATACCGATGGCTCCGCCTACCCTTTGGCATCAAGAGTGCTCCAGAGCTGTTTCAACGCATAATGGATGAAATGCTTAGTGACATAGAAGGAGCCAGAGCAGTTATGGACGATATCCTCATTGCTGGGAAGGATCTGAAGTCACATGATGAGATCCTAGAGAAGGTCGTAGCAAAAGCAACTGAATGCAACCTGAAGCTCAACTTCACCAAATGTCACATTCGCCAGTCTCGAGTGAAGTATGTGGGACACCTAGTAACTGAAAGTGGTCTCGCTCCTGACCCAGACAAGGTCAAAGCTGTTGCTGAGATGCTGAGACCAGAAAGCAAGGAAGAAGTCAGGAGGTTCCTGGGATTTCTTCAGTACTTGTCAAAGTTCATTGACAAATTGAGTGAAGTGGACGAGCCTCTGAGACAGCTGACAAAGAAAGACGTCGCCTTTCACTGGGGGCCAAGAGAGGAGCAGAGCTTCAATGAACTGAAGAGGCACTGTACCTCAACACCAGTCTTGGCCTTCTATGATGGTAAGAAGGACCTCACTATCCAATGCGATGCCAGCAGCTATGCAGTAGGAGGTGTCCTTCTGCAGGAGGGACAGCCGATAGCATACACGTCCAGAGCAATGACACTAACAGAGATGCGGTATGCGCAGATCGAGAAGGAAATGCTTGCGATACTGCACAGCTGTAAGAAATTTCACCCATACATATTCGGGAGAAGCATCACAGTGCAGTCCGATCATAAGCCTCTACAGTCGATCTTCAACAAGCCTCTCCTGTCAGCTCCGATGAGGCTGCAGTCGATGTTGCTGAGACTGTATGCCTATGACCTAGATGTCCACTATGTGCCTGGGAAAGACCTAGTATTGGGAGACACTCTGAGTAGGGCAAATCTTCCTGAGACTGAGCCAGATGCACCAGCCCTCTTGGTCAATATCATTGATCATATTGCAGTAGCACCAGACAGATATGCAGAGTTCCAGAAGTGTACTGCAAACAAGCTCAACGAACTTCACACTATAATCATGAAAGGATGGCCCGACACCAGGATGGAGACACCACACTCGATCAGAGAGTACTGGAGCATCAGAGATGAGCTGGCAGTCACTGATGGTGTCATCTACAAGGGGATGAGAATTGTGGTACCGCCTAGCATGAGAAATGGTATGCTAGCACAGATTCATGGTTCTCACCTCGGGATCGTCAAGTGCAAGAAGAGAGCAAGGGAGGCACTGTACTGGCCAAGTATGAATCAACATATAGAGAGGCTAGTACAAGATTGTGCAGAGTGCAACTCCTATCAAAACAAACAACCGGCAGAGCCTCTGAAGCCAACAAAGCTGCCAGACTTGCCATGGGCCGAAGTTGGTTCAGACCTGTTCGAGTGGGAAGGCAGTGCCTATCTTCTGGTAGTGGACTACTTTTCGAAATTCATAGAGGTCGACAAGATGGCGTCAACCAGCAGTGCTGCCGTTATCGACCGCCTGAAGAAACAGTTCGCTAGGCATGGGATTCCCCTGAAAGTGAGGAGCGACAATGGTCCACAGTTTAGCTCACAAGAATTCAGAGAATTCTGTACCAGCTACGGTATTGAACATGTGACATCATCACCCCGATACCCTCAAGCGAATGGTGAGGCGGAACGAGCAGTACAGACTGTGAAGAGAATGTGGAGAAAGTGTGCTGACAGGCAGCTGGCACTCCTGGACTACAGAACAACTCCATTACCCAGCTGTGACCTGTCACCAGCACAACTTCTGATGGGTAGGAGACCTCGCAATCTCCTCCCCACAAGCAAACAACTGCTGAAACCCAAAGAGGTCAACATGAAGGCAGTGAAAGACAGCTTCGACACCAAGACTGCAGAGGCCGAAAGGTATTACAACTCCAGAGCAGGAAAGGTTCTCCTTCCATTACATCCTGGAGATCCTGTAAGGATGGTGCCACTGCCAGGCACTCGCAAATGGCTTCCAGCGACAGTCATCAAGAAGCATGACACACCAAAGTCTTATTTGGTTGAGTGCAGTGGAAAGCTGTACAGGAGAAACCGCAGAGATCTGAAGAAGACGACCGAGTCTGCTAACAAGCCGCACAACCAGCCTGCTGACAAAGGTGTAGCTCCAAGCCTGGTGACGCTGGCCCTGCAATCGTCTACATTGCCCGTTGTCAGTCAGCCCGATCCTCTCGTCGAGCAGACCAAGCAGACAAATCCACAGGCACCTGTACCCAATGCATCTATCCATGCACCAGATCAAACAGAGGCTGACCACGCTCACAAGAAGACCAGCTCGCAGCACCACTACCAAACCAGAAGTGGACGCGTCAGCATACCCCCAAAGCGTTTGATCATGGATTAGCGTCTATTATAGCATATATTAGCATCTATAATTTAGCTGTTAGTTTAGAGTAGCACAGATTTATAGCTCGTCAAGAGATAAAATAGATGAAGCGGTTTAACAAGCGATATTGTGAAAAGATGCGGAATACCACTTTTGACAACCTCAAGGATCATTATGTTTGGAGACACATCGTTAAGAACCTGAATGGTAAAGATTCAGAGCAAGGGTGAAGTGCTAGTAACCTCTCCCCTCTTAGCTCCACGAAGGAATAAGCGTTAAGAAATAAACCTCAACAACAAGGAAGAACCGCGTCAGTAAGGACCTGAATGGTAAAGATTCGGGGTAAGGGTGAAGTGCTTGCAACCTCTCCCCTTTAGAGAGCATAAAAGCGTTGATAGTGTAGACTCTCTTTAAAGCATGATATTAGTTTGAGTTAAAGATTTAGATTTTACAAAGCATGCACTCGACTCAAAAGTCTACCAGACAATACAAAGCGTGAATGACTACGCCAAATGAGAACTCATAAATTGGACTCAGTACGAACTCAGTTGAAAACAAAGTATTATTCTTATGCAGTTATTTATGTGCCAATTAACCTTTCATCTAAACAGGAAAAGGGAGATGTTATGTATTGGCATCTCATAGCCAAGGATTGCAACACTTGGCATTCCATACGAATAATAAAGCATGCTACACACATGACCTAAAAGTACCACTTGTGTCTGACCGAATATGTTACACCCCCCCCCCCCCCCAGGCAACAAATATAGAAAGAAAAACAATTAAAGGGGCTGTAGTATGGCAAATACTGGTTAACGCCGTCTACAACTTCTTTTGGACAACTGCACTTTAAAACGAATGGACTTGATTAACTGGGTCAGTGCACGCTAGCGTTCGTGCAAGAGCGCTGTTACACGCACGTGAATACTGCGGTCGCGTCGTCCCTAGTCGTATTATACCCGATTGGCCCCGAGTCAAGCCACGGGAAAGACACGTGCATGTAGTCTCGTCATGCTACAGCCCATCCATTTAGGAAAACAAGAAATTAAAGGAGGATGCTGTGCAGTGTTTGCCCAATTAAATTATGAAAAAGCAGTGAAAATATGTTTTTATTTCCATTGAAAAAATAATTTAGAGTATATATAGTTTTTCATGCAAAATGAGACCACTTGACCGCCCCCAGTAGGTATCAAAATTGAGACAAACAGGAAATAGAAAACATGAAGGGTTTTGCCTTCTTTATGGCTTCTTCAAGGAAATTTTTAAGAAAGATCAAAAATGAAATTGTATGGCTTTTTAGAGGTCTCATCACCAGACTGCAAATGACTTGGTTTAACGTTTAAGTCCTACCATGGCACCAATGTCCTCTGGCAAGGCTTTTTTCTGCCTTTGCCACCTCCCACCCAGGTGTAGTAGATTGGCATCTGGTAGGAAGTTCAGAAAATGTAGAAGTGAAAGAAAAATATGATTGGTGTCAGTCTGAGGAGGCAAGGTTGTTTCATTCAGATTTTGTAAAAAATCTGTTCTATGAACCATGGCCATCATGTTGTTATACATCATGAATGTAATTTGAAGAAGAAAAAAAGTGAGCACTAATTTTTTTTTTGGGGGGGGTCTTCAAAAATTTGAAAAATTGCACCCCCGCCCCCTTTAAGCATCAGGGGGGGGGCATCTCCAAAAAAAGGTAAAATTAACATTAAAAAATGTAAAAATACACATTTTTTTTTTCCGGGGGGGGGGGGGGGGCTGACCCCCCACCCCCCCCCCCCCCCCCCTGGATCCGCCACTGTCATCATCATCAGCAGCAGCAGCATCATCATCATCATCATCATCATCATGATCTGTGTTATCACTAATGCTCCTTTGTGTTCTTGTTTGGTTTCTATGGTAACAGGGACACGCAGCTCTTGGAGGATTGGAGGCAGGAGACGAGGGACATGCAGAGGAAGCATTACATCAGGGCAGTCAAGAACGCTCAGCAAGGTGAGTCAATCATTGTGCAGAGGTAGGTGTGGTGGTTTGAACTAGTTTGAAATGGAAGGTCTCAGATTCAAGCCCCTGCACAGCGCTAAATAATGATCCTACTACAATCCATTGTCGTAAGGTAAATCAAAGTTAATGCACAAGGCTTTGAGTGCCTCAAGTTATTGTGTTCACCTTTAACGAATAATAATATTGCAGTTGTCAGAATAAAAATGTTATAAACTAGTAGAAAAAAGCAACAGACTTTCCATATTTTAATTTTCATCTTTATAATTCATTAATTCCCATTTATGCATAAACTTCATGTCCTAATTACTCCTTTCTCTCACATTCTTCCCTTTATAAACATTTCCTATCTCTATTTTTTCCATCGCAATGTATTAGGTCTAGGATGGAAACATGGTAATCTTAAGTTCCTACTCCAGCTGTTTTTGTTTTTTGTTATTAATGAGTTATTAACATTTTGTTGCTGTTCTACTTATTACGATTGAATGGTGTTTTAACAAAATATTGGAAAATAAGTTTGAAATAAACAGGGGCATGATCGCAAGTCCTCCAGTCAATCACAAGTTTATAATCTAATCTCTTTTAAGTACACAATTGCACTTGCATATCGAATTGATCTCAAGTTCTCAACTCTTTCAACGGACCAGTTTGTTAGCTTTTGTACGAATGATCCAAATATCCACAGATCTGTTACACAAGGAGACGTCCTACTTTGTGCCAAAGTAATGGAGGCCCTTCACAAATACCTTATTGTTTACCCTCTTGAAGAGAATACTTCCACCTGTGTATCAGGGAATGTACGGCACAAATCCAGTATTCGTCTCGATAAGTTTGACAATTTTGGTAGAAATTACCTTCACTGGTATCTACCCATGCACAGATAGTATCTATAAACTGACTGATGAGATGAGCCCAGACAGCATATTACCACCCTTTGCCTTGACCAATCATTATCTCTATCGGCGTTAGAGAAAGTCCAAGATATTTGGTCATTTCTTGCCCCATATGTTACCAAGTATTGTGAAGTAACAAACATAATATTGCATCAGATGTATCATTTTACCTCATTCTTTGTCCAATTCAAGCTCTAGGTAGGGCTATTAACTTAACACAATATCAAATATACTAAAATCTTAGATGTGGTCGGTGACATCTAGTACAATATATGTTCAATTTGCCCATTAGTGGTAAAAAAATAGGATTTTACATTACTTTTAGATACTGATCAAATCCATCACTTTTGAAACTTTGCAAAGTGTACATCCATGTAGTCTGATGCAGTCTGTGTTTTAAATGTTTACACGTTAATCCTATCAAGCAGGTTATCTTGATTCAGAACTTGAAGAATAACATTAGGCATGTTATTAAAAAAGCTGGATATTATAGTCCTTTTGCAAGATAATAACATTTGGACATATTGTTGACATTCATCATGCAAGAAATCCAGCATTTTCATTGATTTTTAATAATTGTGAACAGTTGTAATTTTTACCCTGCATTATTGAATGTTAAATACATGTAACCTAACTTTCCTTACCAACATCTCACTATTAAAGTTTGCAAAACAAGGAGCTTAGATATAGGTTTGTTTGTATTATTAATGTTTACACAAAATACTATCACACATTGGAGGTTGAAAGTTTAAAGTTCAGGGTGATAGATAATTTTTATTACATCAATGCACCTCAAATTATTTGGGTTCAAGGTCCATCAATCTCAATTCTTCATTTCCAACATTGAATACTTTCACTTGTGGTTGGCTTTGCTTAATGTTTTGATGAAGGAATAGCAAGTGAGGCCATGAAGTCCTGTTGACTGGAAATTGATTTGATTATCTCTGTGACTGAAATCATTTTGTTCTTCCAGAATATGAGTCTTTGTTTAGATTTGTGGAAAGAGCATTGCAATTATTGTCTGATTGTATTGAATAAGTGCCTAGTTTTTTCTAAATTTATCGTTCTGCGGCAGTAAAAGTCAGTACGGTATCATAGTTACTTTTCACTTTTTTCTGTGAAAGTCTGTATTATATTTCACTTGTTTCTGTGATGTTTTTGATGTGATACTGAGTGGGGCTATTCAATTTGAGATCCCCCACCCCCATCCAGCAAAATTTATGATTTTCCTCAATGCCATGCACCATTTGATTTCTACTTTTGTTTTAAACAAATTGACCAAATTGGTCAAAATAACTAGTTCATATTAAGCGAATGGACACCATCACTGTATAAAATAGAGCGTGATTTGTTTGTGAACTATTTTCTTTTAAAATGACACCAAACAAAATCAAAATATAGTTTAGAGATGACTTATTAAAGTAATTGGCCAACAATTTCAATAAAGACACATCGAATCCCGGGTTACACAAACATGTGGTTGTACATGTACTTTTTTTCCAATTCGATTTGGTATTGAGTGTTTCAATTTTCAGAGTTTGGGTTATTAATTTTTGGGTTTTTGAGTGTTGTTCAATTAGTGTTCTTTATGATTTTGAGATCTAATTGATGAGTAATATTTACATACATGTCAGTCCAGGGCCATGTCTTACAAAGAGTTGATATCAATCACAACTATGTACATAAGAGACAGGAGACTGCAAACTTGCGATGATTTGGATCAATCACAAGTATTTGTGAGACGGGGCCCAGACTTTTATAATCGCATTGAAATTGGTCATACAGTATATGTACCGGTATGTAGTAAGGTTTTTTGTATTTCTTTACAATTGAGCAGTCTTCTTCTAAAATTCCAAAGTGCTAAATACTTTGGTGTTTTGCTTTTCGCTATTTATGATTTATTACTTATCTTTCATAGCATAAAGTTTTCGTTGAGGAATCTACGATCTGTTTATGAAATCTATCAGCATAGTACAGTGTATATAAATAGCAATTTCAAAACTTGCTTTATTTTGAAACGGTCGCTTTTATTCTGTTTTCCCTTCTTTTGATGTTTACTCAGCTAACTTACAATATTTTTATTTGCCAACTTTCAAGAAAATGAGATTTAATTGAATTTTTTTTCTGTAATTTTGTTCAGGTTTTGTTGTTGATCCTGACCTGAAGATGCCATACGACACACACCCAAATTTCATGAAGATGATGAACAGAGAAGATATGATTAAGGTAAGTAGAAATCAATTGCAAATCGTCCACCTTTCAAAAATCTTGTAACCCTATATCTTCCTCTCCCCAATGTTTTGGGATGGGGGAGGGGAGTGGGAGATAACTTCTCTAGCTCTTTTATCTCTACTCATGATGAATTACTTCTTGCTTTCCCTTGCTCACTCATTGATTTTAAAATAATAAGCGTAATAATTGATGTTATTTGTTATTTTTGTAAATCAATTGGTTTTTTTTATTGTAACACAGTTGCATTCATTCTGTAATTAAAGAACTTAACTCAAAGTAAGGTTTTATTCTGAACAGAAATTTATTACTTTTCCCTAAATCATATGACACGTCCAAAGTCTTATACAAAATGATGATGAAGCGCAACGTTTTGTCAAGTCAGTGAATACCAAGCACAAGATTTCTTTGGCTGAGGTCTATGGAAAATGTGTGTATATATATATATGATTTATAAGAAAATATGAATCTTTTCAAACTGGATGTTACTTCTTGCATTTTAGGTGGAAGTGAAGAACAAGCATGAAGCGATGAAGAACATGATAACACCTGAAGAGCAGAGAAGACTGGACGTTACCAAGTAAGTTTTTCAATTCGTGATTGGTGGGGGAAAGAGGTGATCTGATATTTGTTTGAGCATTTATTTGTTATAGATACAGTTACCTCGACATAAAGAAAACTATATACTTATATAATATTGGATGGCTTTGAGTGTGATACAAGAATATATTGCTTGAGCTATGACAATATTGGACGAGTCAAAGACGAGTCTAATATTGTGATAGCAAGAGCAATATATTCATTTATCACACGAAAACAAAGCCATACAAATATTATTATTATTATCTATATTATTCTGACTAGCCAAATAAAACAAATCGAATTTCCTCTGTAAAATGGCTTTGAAGTACCCGGATGACTGAGCAATAGGAAAACAATATTGGTCAGTCATCTAGGTACTGCGCTTAAAATATTGAATATGCTGATTTATTGTACCACTTGGAAGCCTTATATAGATAATAATTGCTTTTATTTCCATTCTTCAAATATCTCGAACCGTTACAACATTTACTGGCACTGTGTGTCACAATCTAATAATATTTACTGATAAATCTGATTTTCTACTCAGGATGGAAAGAGACAGGCAGCTGATAAGTAAGATTAAAGAACACACCCAGAAAGTACAAGAGAGGAAATCAAGACCGGGGGGAAACCCCCAGATGGAAAAAGACATGGCTCAGAAAGATTTAGTAGAGGTAAGGTAGAAAACTAAAGTCCTAGGATCCATTTCACAAAACTTGTCATCAGTGAAAAATGACAGTTTTTGTTATAAGCAAGTGAAATCCTTGCTTCTGATTGGTTATCAGCAGATTTTTCACTGATTTTTGTCATTTGTCATTGACAAAAGGCTTTGTGAAACGGGTCCCAGGGGCAAAATCTAAGAAATTTATACTATCTCTCATATAAACTGTCAATTCGATTCCCCTCGTTAATGGGCCCTTTAATTAGCATTTGAAATCCATCTTTCTGAAAACTGTATAATTTAAAGGTTTATTTTTTATTATTACCGGTATTCTTATTGTACACATAATGTTGTTATGTACTTCTAGCAAGTGATGTGGAAAAGGGGTTCTGATGTGCATATTTTAGATTTCATTCCAGATGAACTGAGGATTTCCAACGAGTTTCAGGCTACATAAGACATACTGTTCAGTTTTTAAACATTGATAGAATTCATGTTTTTTTAAACTCAAATTTGGTATGCCTGTGATAGTTGGTAATTTAGCCAGGATACCTTAAGCGGTCTTAATGTCCTGTATCTTGGTCTGAAGGAGCTCTGACACCAATAAGTGAAAGATTCCCCCCCCCTCCCCCTCAGGAGGAGAATGTTTGTTAAGATATCACTGCACTCTTTGTCTAGAGTAACTTGAAGATACTAGTGTAGTGGTACACTGGCTGGCACGTCTCAACCCTTTGTACTGCGAGGAGAGACCCAGCATGTTATAGTACGCTTCTATCCTCCTAAGCAAAGGATACTGTCAAATAATTGTTACTGATAATGACATTGATAATAACACCATCTATGTTTTGTACCTCACCAGTTGCGAGTTTTGGCAAAGCTCACAGTAACCCAGCTAAAACCCCTATGATATGGTAACCAGAACCCTATATGAGTGTTTCGCGTGCTTCTTCAACTTGAAGTTCTGTCATTGTTTGAACTCTACCCCCTATGCTCCATTCTCTTTTCATGTATTTTACCCTGTAAGCCTTGTTCACACGTGGTGCTGTAAACTGTCGAAGAAAAATATATTGTGAAATATATGATATGTGAATGAAGTGCAAGTGGGGGTCAGATAAAAGTATCTGCAAGTACCGATTTTGTGAAGGCCCTTATAAAGCATACTCGCTCTACTGTGTGTTTTAAGTTACAAAAATGTGAGAAGCACTATCTTTGTGTGGGTTTTGGGGTTGTTTTTTTTTTTTTGGGGGGGGAGGGTTTGCCATGGTGCTTTTTTGAGGCAGTTTATTGCATCATATATATGGGATCAAGGCTTTAAAAGCCATCTTGAGTTTCTGATAGAGGTACATTTGCAAGCTACAGTTTTAGAGGAAAGTTGTCCTGAAAATCCTTCTTAATTGTTTTGATAATTGGGAAATATGCAAACCAGCAAATAAAAAAAGGATATCTAGAATTTCCTTGATAGTTCAAATGCTGAAAAGCTCTCAGATTTGCAGAATTTCCCTACAGATCTAAATGTTTTCATCCTGTATAGCAGCTTTTGTATTACTCCAGTTCAGTATATGTGGCAGATGTTATTTGTTTGCAGTTTTGAAGTTTTGGTTTGACTTTTGTGGACTTTGTGCTAGTTTTGTTTTTAAGTCTTACCAGAGCTCAAGACGTCATATGAAAAGTAGTGTAATGGAGTTTCAATGGCTCGTAGAAGAATCTTTTGAATTAGTGCACATACATATACATGAATATATTTTACTATCAATCATTGCATAGGTACCCAATGCAAGAGAAGAAAAAAAGTTGTCATGTATGTTACACGTACATGCTTTGACAGAAATGGTAATTATTGTCAAAGAGTGCATTGCTAGAAATGGTCTAGAATTTCATCGCACAAGAATTTGCTGTACTGATCATCATCATCATCATCATCATCATCATCATCATCATCATCATCATCATCATCATCATCATCATTTTTATTATTAATCAACATCCTCCTCCTCCTCCTCCTCCTTTTCTTCATCCTCCTCCTCTTTCTCCTTTTCTTCATCCTCCTCCTCTTTCTCCTTTTCTTCCTCCTCCTCCTCCTCCTCCTCCTCCTCCTCCTCCTCCTCCTCCTCCTCCTCCTTCTCCTCCTCCTCCTCCTCCTCCTCCTCCTCCTCCTCTTCCTCCTCCTCCTCCTCCTCCTCCTTCTCCTCCTCCTCCTCCTACTCCTCCTCCTCCTCCTCCTCCTTCTCCTCCTCCTCCTCCTCCTCCTCCTTCTCCTCCTCCTCCTCCTCCTTTTTCGTCCTTCTCCTCCTCCTCCTCCTCCTCCTCTTCCTCCTCCTCCTCCTCCTCCTCCTCCTCCTCCTCCTCCTCCTCCTCTTTCTTCCCCTTCTCCTCCTCCTTCTCCTCTTCCTTCTCCTTCTCAAGTTCTCCTTCTGAAAAGTTCTCCCTTTACTTCTCCTTCTCTATCTTCTTCTTCACTTTCTTCTTTTCCCCATCTTTCATGTTCCTTTATCTTCTTTTCTCTCCCTTTATTTTTCTACAAACCATATATCGCAAAATGATGACATGTAGATCAATAGCGATATAAACAACTGTTCATCTCATTGATCACAAACATAAAGCTGCTACATGTTGCCAGTATACGATACTTCAGTTGCTATCATGTGAATGACGTTCAAACACCCAAAATCACATGATACAGATGCTTCTAGACATTATGCTAGGCTGTGCTTTTAGGCTGCAGTAGCCATCTGAAGATTGTTATGTATTTTTGTAAAAATAATAATAATTAAGATTTATATAGCGCTGGTATACAAATACAGTTTCTAAGCGCTTTACAAAATAAGTGAAATGAAAATTGTACCTTTTCTAGTACAATGTTCTCATGCCCTCAATCATGACTGCAATTGAGTTGGTGTTTGGATAATATTTTCTTTATGCATATGATTTCTTGTGTGTTCCTACTTCACACGCAATTTTTTATGAGAGAAAGAAAAGGTAATTTTTGTTTCAGGTCTTCACAACATGTAAAATGCTCACCGTTTTGTTTACTTACTCTCTTTGTCATTGGAATTGTATATGGGAGTTATATCAGGTTTGAAGTTTGAAGTTTTCTCAGGGAGCACCATTTCTGTGGGTCACTTTGTACACCAATCCCATTTCCCACTCCCTTACAATACTTTCTATTTCTTAGGGAGGTTTTATATATTAAACAACAAGTTTTTAATTTCTCTTAAGTGAAGTGGTGACAGAAGGATCTTGTATTTTGTAATTGTTGGTCTGTACATTAATTATTTCATCGCAATATCTTGAGAACCATTGGAAGAAGATACTTCAAATGTAATTTCATTATACATCTATGTCACTACAGGGATATGAACTGATTTTCAGGCCATTGTGTTCATGGTCACAGAGGTGCGGATGCAGAAAGATGCAGATAAATATCAATACCATTGAAATTGGTATTACAAATTTTTGCTATGAGCTAAATTTTGCCCATTTAAAGAAAGTGAACCAAGATGATCTGTGTCAGAATTGTAACCTAATGCTCCTCTTTGTTGCAATATTCATACAGCTGCTCAAGGTAAGGAGTTGAATTTTTGGATTCCTTATAAATATATGTATCTCTACAAGCAGAAGACCTTGTTTGAATTTAGTACTTGTGTAAAAGGTCAAAAAGGTAATTTTCCTTTGACAAATCTATTTTGGTACCCCTAGATGGTTTAATTTGACAGGCTTTTAATCTCTCTGAATTCATTGTCGCATTCTTGCAGGGCCAAAGGCTTCAACAGGCTCTCCACCATCGCAAAGACGACCTGGAGTACCGCTTCAAGGCTTTCACGGGAGACAACGTCCCGTCGATGTCGGTGACGAGCACTTCAGGCTACAGGCCCCAGGCAAAATGAACCATGAATTTATACTAAACCATGCCACTAATTATAAAAATAGGCTATGATGAATTGCCAACATTCATGATGCAATGGCACTTTGGATAAGACAACATTTAGACAACCTAAATTGCTATATCTGAAGATTTCAAGGGCGTAGAAAGATTTGAATAGTAGAATTTTTGCCTGTAAGTTCAGTACATGTAACGTACAGTCTTGCAAAAGCAGAATTTTTACAAAGAAGCAAAAGACTTTACTTTGAATGTTAGATCGGCCAACAATGGTGAAATATATGACTAAAAAAATACTTGTTTTTCCAAAACAATTACCTTTTTTTTGTTGTTTTTTTGTTGTCACATCCCCTCCCCTTTTCCATACAATGTCACAGACAGAATTGTCAATTGATGATAATTGTACTGCATGTTATAATTAATCCCTGCTCTGCATGAAAGGCACACATGCTCATGTGATATTTGAGGTTGACTTGCTATCATGAAAATTTGGTGAATTGTTCTTGTCTTCTAATGTTTTAGATGGAAGGAGAATGATTTAGAGAAATTAAAGTTTGTTTCCAACATGAGCCTATAATTTATAACATTTGTTGCTTTAAAAAAAAAATAGTAGGGGCAAATTAGAAGGATACACATAAAGCCGTAAATATTTGGTTATCTCTTATATTTTTATCCAATGAAATAAATGTTGTTTTTTTTGTTGAGTTGGTAGCTTTAGCTGCAGTGAAATTTGAACAACAAAACTTTAATTTATCAAAGAAGAGTATGACAAGCATTGTATTATGTAAAGCTATAAAATGTAGCTTTTATCTTTTATCTTGCCTAAAACTGGTAGTTTTTAGAGGATTATTAGAAAAGCTGATTAAAAATTTATATATACATTATACAAGCTCATTATACAGAAATTAAAATGTTTGCCCAAATAGATGTCATTGCAAGCAATAATGTTGTTTTAAAATGTTAAATGAAAGATGCATATTTTATGGCCAAGCAGAATTCAGGTATGGGTTATGTCTCGAACATTTTGCAAGGATATCAGTACTTGGGTTAGGACGGCTGAAAATATACTTTTAATTTGATATCTTTTAAATGTCTGTAAAATGGTTACATAGGTCTGTTAAAACTATTACCGGTAAACTTAAGATGTTATAAACTGTAAGAATTCAACTTCCTTTTTGGATAAAATAATGAAAAGTCCAGGGTATTTGTTTGTTTAATCATACTAATATTTGGATTGTGTGTGTGCTTTAAACCTTGAATAGAATACAGTATTTTATTTATGAATTGAATTATTTGTAAGTTATGTTTGTGAGAAATGAATAGAATTATTAATAGATTATTTGCAGGATTGATTGCAAAGGCATGGAATGATGTGTGTCCGTTTTTTAAATTACTCTTATATGTATTTATCTTAGAAGAAAATAAATCTACAGAATTATTTGCAATAATGCAGATATATAGATAGGAATCGTCCAAATTTTGTCAGGCAACAGAATATTAAAAGTATTCAGAAACTTGCCAAGATAGCCAGTGTCTATTTACCAATTATATATTATTTATGGTTGCAGTCTGTGCTTACAATTTGTGTGTACAATGCATGCTATTTATATGTGGATCAAATGCCTTCTTCACATATTCGAGTAGAGAGCTATAGGTAATAGTAAAATATAAACATTCTAGCAGTAGAAAATAAGGTGCCGTCCATTTTATAAATTGATGATTGTTAATATATTTGTTAATATATGCCAAATGTACAAGCAAACTTCTTAGATCTTAGACTTGTTTTTAAAATGTATATCTCTTGTACTACCTCCTGTAGATTTATAGCGCCCTCTGGGGCAATAACCCTACATTTCTCTAGATAATACCTCTAGATAATACTTGTCCCTGGAGGAAGAAGTGATTGTCTGGTTAGTAGGTGCCTGTTTTCCAGGGGGTAGTTGTCTAGAGTCTAGACATGCCTGATATTCCAAGGTTTGATGTTCAGTACCTTTTCTGCTGCATCAAATCATTTCGTTTTATGTGCCATTTGCTACTTTCGTGTATATATATAATTGAATATAATTGTAAATAAATTATAGAGAAACATAGAATTGTGTTAGAACAGAGTTTTTATTCTGTATCAAGCAGATAACAAAATGTATTGTCAAGAAAAACTACAAAATACTTGCACTGACATTTCCACAAGAAACTGACAGCACACTTGCAGTACATATTTTTAAATCCATTGCAGGTTTCTTAAAGTATACTTCTTTATGGAAATATGTTATGGATTTAGAGAGAAATGAATGTCAACGATGTAGAAGATTGGGCAATTAAAAGCATCAGATTGATTTAATCAATTATAAAGAATTTCTTGAATTGACAACTGTTATGTACAAACTGACTCCTTGAGATCAGAAGATTAATACTACCTGTGCATACATGTAAATGGATCTTCTCCAAAATTGGAGCACTGCAACATAAAACTTTTTGACATCTGACGGACAATGTTCAAGTACAAAAAACATACATCATATTAGTTGTAAAAACCTGTTTGTAAAAGTCACTTTTACATACTGGTATTCAAAACATTGCACCAGTGTACGCACAAAAATGCAAGGCAAAATTAAACAGAAATGAAAAACAATTTGATTTTCATCAACAGGATGACATTTTATGCTTTCATGTTTGCTTGTTATCAACATTATTCTTTATGCATTGAAATGATGTAAACCTAAAAAATGTCAATTATTCTGCAACTACAATTTGTCAAACAAAATATTCTGAAGGTATTATTTCATGATATTTTGGTGTGACAAGAATAAATCAAGATATTATCAAAATGATGATGCACACGTATGTCCACCCCCCTCCACATTCCCATGTCCAATACACACACCATCTAAAAATTTAAAATTATGAAATTGACTTTTCAATAGAAGCAATTCATAGTTCAAACAAGATTTAAAATCCTCAAAATCATCATTAGAACTGAATCAATGTTGCAATATCTCAAATCTCATGCACAGTCACAGATTACAGTTCTAAATCCATAGTCCAAGACTCCACAGTATGCTGTCGAAAATTGGCAGGTGCGTAATGCTCAGTGTACAAATAACTTTTTAATCCCTAAAGATCCTCTTTCTCTGAAATACACATACATATACATATACTTGTGACTGATTCAATAGCATTTCAATAGTTCTCTTTTTTTTCTTGATCAAAACCTTTTCCATGTTTACCAGAGCTTTTTGGTATCATTCCAGAGCTAATTGACTCTCCACTCTTATGTACTTTTATCACAGCTAGTGATGTTGAAAAGGCCCATATTTACCCAAGGGAGGATATGCTACAATCTAAGGTTTCTAACCATGGTGTACACCTCGACCATGGACTGAAATATGGTAAAAATTAAAACCTTGTAAAAACGAACCCCTTGGGACCAAGGAAATTACCCATTTATATCAGGGTTAAAAAATAAATGATGCAAAGAAGTGGTACCTCCCAAAATGCCTTGTAAATATTAAACAAGTTTGTTGAAACATTTTTCTTGAAAGTGAGATTTAAACATATACGTTGCTTGTTCAATGAACAAGATGTCATAAGCGTGCAAACCTTAGAGATTTAAATGGTGGTTTAAAATGAAGTCTTTCATGAATTCCAGCCTTTAGTTTCACTGAGATTCTTCTGGTGTGATGGTCAGTTTCATTGTCTCCTTGCCTCTGACCGCTGTCACCTTGAGGCTTTCTTTGGCCTGGACCCGGTCATAGAGTTCCTGGGAAGACTTGATCGGCTGGTCGTTGATGTGGGTGATGATGTCGCCAGCTTTCAATCCGGCACTGTACGGTGAGATGCAACAACGAGGATTAAAAACAATAATTAACACAATTGTCCAACAAGTAAGAACCCAGCACAATTTCTAACAAAAGATTAGAATGATGCAATCACTAAAATCTGGCAAACTCATCGTGTGTAATACAAAAAATAATTATAATTTGGCCAATGAGCTCCAAATGATTTCTGAACATAAAAACAGTTATAAATGAATTGATTTGATAGCCTAAACATTGTGTGCTTGTTGAGTAAAAAGCACTTACATATGATATCAATACTCTAGTGAGCATCTCACAACAACTATGTTTTGTCACTGATACTATCCCAACTATCAAATCTCTCATCTCTCATCGCCAGAAGAGTTTGAAAGAGAGGAGGAGAGTGGTTGTTAAAGTGACTCGGTAATTGTCTCAGATTCTGAAATAAAATCCTGGATTTAGCTCATGCTGCAATGATAATTATAAACCTCTAGGTCAGTTAGGAACCCCATGACGTTTACAAGCCGATCGCCTGTCTGATTATCAAGATATTAATGATTGGAAATCGAAATCAAATTTTCTGTCTTCCTAACGGTTTTTATAACACTACAGTCTATTGGGGAAAATGAGTATGGTAAAACCGGTCACTCAAATATTTTTACTTTTTGAGACACATTGAAGCGCAATTTTTTAGGGCTTTAATATTACACCATATCACAGACACCGATAACACGTAGGGCCATGCATCTCAGATTCAACATTGTTCTTCTTCTTATCGAGTCACTACACAAGTCCCGTCCAGTGGTCCACACAGGCTTTGGCACGGCAATTCACGGCTTCCAGGTCATCTTGGGTGCATGGCTCTGGCAGGAGTGGGCAGACTAGCAGGTGTTCCATTGTCTGTTCCTGGCCGCATTCACATGCCGTTTGTTCGTCTCCTAGACCCCACCTCTGCATTAGGACTCAGCATCGACCGTAGCCAGTTCTTAGGCGGTTGAGGCTAAGCCAGGTAAGCCAAGTCTCACTGGAGCCGGTTGCGAGGGATTCCTTCGGGCTGAGGGAGAGTTTATGTGGAGTGGTCTGAAGGTGGTTTAGACCACAAAGTCATCCTTTGGTTGTGAGGGCTAGTATTAAGAGGCTCTACAGAGTGCAGAAAGCTGTGTCTGGATTTGAGCCGCTTGCCCACTGGCTGTTGTTCGAAGTGTGGGTGGAGTGGATTGTTTTCAATGCCTTTAAAAGAAAAATTTGCAAACCAATGCAATACTTACACTTGTGCTGGAGACTCCATGGTGATCCTGTAGATAAGCACACCATGGCTGACATTGGGGAAGTCTGGCGCCCTCTGTCTGAGGTCAAAGATGAGGCTAGGGGTCAGGGAGAGCATCGTGATACCGATGTACCCCTGCTTGCCTGCTTTAGATGGTGTAGTTAGCGCTGGACCTTGTGGCCCCGATTTGCCGAACCATCCTCCTCCAGATGCTGTTAGTACAAAAAATACTCACAATTTAATTTAAAAAAATTCTATTTCACAATAGTTTAAAAGTTTTCCAAGTGCAATATTCCTATAGTCTGACAGTCATGGAGAGTTAAACATTTCCCTGGGATAAAGATTGGTGGAGGGGGAGGGGGCCGAATATACAAACTTTTGAAAAGTATTAACTGAAAGTGGAGATGAAGCTACGACCCTCAGCAAGCCCCTCAGAAAATAGTACTATTGGAGTCACCTCTTGCCCATAGTTTCAACCAGAACCTCTCAAGACAATGTATATTTGTATAATATTCTGCCAATATTTTCATATGTTGTTTTGTAAGAACATTTCATCAAAATAAAACTTGCACACAGGAGAACAAAAATGAAAATTGATGTACTATACAGAAGTAGATTGACACTGCAGTTGAAAATGCCCATTTAGAATTGCATTTTAAATTCAAACTGCATTTAGAATTGCCATTTCTCCACAGAGACAACAGAACTTAAGTAACGCCTGGCTGGAATGCTCCCCAGGGAGTGGAGATTGTGCACACATTGTGTACGGGCAAGCACTGAATCAAATGACCGGGGTAATAGTATATCTGTAAAGCGCTTAGAGACGTCCAAGATGTATTAAGCGCTATATAAAAGCTGAATATTATATTTTTATTAACGCACCTTTCATCTGCTTCTGAACTTTATCCACAAAGTCCCTGGCACAGTCGATAGGGATGGCAAAGGAGATTCCAGTAGTGACTCTCATGGTGTTGATACCAATGGCTTCACCATCAAGGTTTACCAGTGGTCCTCCAGAATTACCCACCTAGGAGAGAAGGAACAAGTTTGAACAGAGTGTCAGCAAATTCATCAAGTTAGCAGTAATGTCCAATACAAGAGTCTAGGCAACAGAAGTGGGGAAATATTCCCTTATTGCTTCAAAATATGGGAAATAGCAACAACTACGTTGTGGGACCCGTATCACAAAGCCCTTTTTCAATGACGAATGACAAAAATCAGTGACAAATCTGTCGATAACCAACCAGAAACAAGGATTTCAGTAGCATCTAACAAAAACTGTCATTTGTCCCTGATGATAAGTTTTGTGAAACGCCCCCCTGGTCTTTGCATTTGATATGGCACTAAAAGGAGTCCAAGAGTTATCAACCTATTGAAGAATGAACAGAAGTTTGAATAAAGTCAGCCAATATATTTTTTAAAGAAAGATGTATTCAGTGATTATGCATAGCAGTCCAGATAATAAAACAGGTGAAACATGTCCTTCATCTTTCCAGATGCGAGAGAAGGCAACAGCATGATTTGCTGAGGCTCGTCCATTTAAAGGGAGCCCCCTACTGGGATGAAACATAATTTAACTTGAATGAACTACTAACCCATCACATCAAATTATAATAAATTGCAATAAAGAGAAGATTAAACACACATGCAAAATCTTTAAGTTGGACTTAACAATTATGGAAAGCCGTTAGCATCTATGAA